CTAGTATTAAGGGCAACTTATTATTCACGCAATGTGCTCAGAATAATGCGTGATTTTCTAGTATTAAGGGCAACTTATTATTCACGCAATGTGCTCAGAATAATGCGTGATTTCGTTTCCTATGCGCCAAACATACCAAGGAACAAGCAATAAACATACATTAATGATGTTGGGTATGTGAGCTAAAATACATCATTTGTGAACTTCATTTCTGTTATTATACATTATTCAGTGAGCTTCTTAGCACTAGTAAGTTAAATACAGGTGTATTATTAAAACTCCAATTAAATACAGTTAGTTGCTTTAAGAACATCAGTTGTCTGTTATTGTTGCCCTCATAGATCGTCCTGGAAAAAACAAAACGATAGAAATCACATAAATTAGTTCAGAAATATATGTGAGAATGGGAAGGATTGTCCATTTGAAATTCTCAATTCCAATATTTTCAGGGAAAATCCTGTAATAACGGATGTATATAAACTTATTAACCTTATTCTTTGACCACAATATATTGATGTACAGAATGTGGGAAATAAAATTGCCTTTCTTTTTTAGCTCTTCTCGTATTAGAAGTATCAAGACATATTATCCTGTTAGTTTTCCGAAACAAGAACTACAACACCTGACTTTAATTACAGTGTTAGTAATGCAAACTACAATAGGTAGGTATCAGCACCAACCTTCTGTTTTGATACCAAGTCTTCACATGTGTGTCGGTTAGGTTTAACTTCGAAGCGATTTCCATTCGATCTTGTACACTCAGGTATTTTTGTGCTTGAAAATGTTTTTCTAAAGTTTGTATCTGATAATCAGTGAAGGCTGTTCTGGCTTTCCTTTCTTTTTTGTTCTTGAAAATACTAGGCAACTCTTTTGTCTTTCCTGCTTTTCTCTTGTCACAAATATCTGAAAGAATAAAATTTAAATCAGAAACAAAAAAAAAAGACTATGTTTACCCACAAGCCAGTGCTAACTTTTAGCCCCACTTAAGCTAACTTACTTAGCTAATCCTATGATAACAATTATACTCTAGTGGCTAATTGCTCTACGCATCTCTATCCTTAGCAAACGTTAATTGTTTTAGGGAACCTTTCACACACACAAAAAAATAGACGTAATTCGCTAACTGTTGGAAGCCATTTCATGGTTTACAGTGTTGGATATACTGCAGCTCCTACGGAATCTCCAAAATCAAGTTCACGATATTTTAGTCTGACCATTTGTATTATATACACAACGATTACATAAATGACTTAACAAACCAACTTTAATGTTTTAATGTTGGATATACTGCAGCTCTTAAGGACTCCCAAAAATCAAGTTCACGATTTTTTAGTCTGACCATTTGTAGTATATATACACAATGATTACATAAATGACTTACTGTTTAACCATTTCTTAACTTACGCATTAATAAAAGAACTAATGCATTCAACACTATAAATATCTAATGATTGTCACTCATATCTTCTGCTACTATCTTCATAATCAGGTGTCTATATGTGTGTCTAACCTGTCATCTCCGCGTTGCTTGTAGAAATACTCGTCCTGTATAGTGTATACATACTAACAACGCGCTACTTAGCATTTTTTATATTTCAACTAATAAGTTTCAGATGTGACGGATTTATTATGATATATTTATTTTAATAGCAATGTTCATTTAAATTAACTTTATATTTAGTAATTTATGTAATTGATACTGATAAATATGTATTGCGAAACTCCCGCGTATTCTCTAAAGTTGTAGAAGATTCTCAAGTGTAAGAATCAACAATATATGCGTGTACGCAAACGCTCAATGTAGCTTTGTATTGTTACGTAATCTGAATTTTCTGGAAACTCTCCACACGCCTATAAATATAACCAACGCGCCG